TGCAGCAACTACCACATTAAACTGTAGCAACTACCACATTAAACTGTAGCAACTACCACATTAAACTGTAGATTGATCTGTAAAACCAACTGTGGCGGCCATCTTGAATTGGGATTACTTCTAACCTTATGCACTTGTTGATGTGCATCCATTGTCTTTCTGAGAGTGTCATTAAAATCTGTCCTGTGGTTCCTTCCTGGGATATTTTGTACTGCAATCAAACAGACACGAACAAAAGCTGTCTTCGCCGTGGGCGATAAGTTGACAAGTGTTTCTACTCTGAGATGAAAGGTCATGTCTTGTGCTGCAGGAAAGAATATTAGGATGAATTTATAGATAATAAAAGTTTTATCATATGCATTATTTTAATTCAACAAACGGAGCAAAATAATGTGGACAGGAATCTAAAGGTATTTCACAAAAATCACTGCAATGCCAGAAATGTTCACAATATCAACTATTACAATGACGGAGCAAAGGAAACCAGGAAGAAAACAATACTTAGGGAGCAAATGAAAGATGAGCAACAGGTGAGTGGCAATTAGCAAACAGAGAACAGGTGCGACGGATCAGAAAGGAGCAAAGAACCCAGCTTTACAAAGAGAAAATGAGGCCAAACATTGGATGTAAAAATAAAATGGAACAAGTGGCCGGGCTTAAACAAAAGCAATGAAAACATTAAAAGTTAAATGAAAAATAAAAATCAATTATAGTGGACCCTGACAGGAAAGTCCTTTTCATCTGTAAAAACCTGCTCAGGAGCTTGAACTGGTCTCCAGCTGTCGTCAGCAGAGCAAACATTTTGTTCAAATATTGAATCAGCCTGAAAGATTTGAAACGCAGCAGCTCGTGTTTCGAGCTCGCCACCTCCTCCCCAAGTGTCGAGCACATCCTGCTGTCAAGGATGTATTGCCTGTGAGCGGTTCTGATCGCCTCTAGTATGACTGTCAGATGTTTCCTGTCAACATGCATGCAGCCATGATGCACCTCACAGTCCTGGCTTCCCTCCTAACAGTAGCAGTCTGCTATGGTGAGTGAACATTTGTCTTTTTCTACTGGTAAACTCACAAGTTTGATGCGTTCAGTGCTGAACTTTACATGAAGCTCCTGTAAGTATGCAAATTAATGCAAACAGGAAGCTTTGTTCTACCGGAGCGAGGTTCAGAAAGCTTGCTTGGTGCTGCAGCTTATTTCTCAGGTCTTGCTTTTAGTAGATTCTGCCCTAAAAAGCAGTAAAAACTTTTTTTTTTTAGACTAGATATGACCAGAAATTGAACATCTTAAATTAATTTATCAGCTAGGAACATGTTGTTCTTCCTGTATTTTTTATTATTTTTTTTTTTTATAAAGCAGATTTTTAGAACAGGTCAGTTTTAAGCAGAACTTAAATTAAATCAGAAAGTCCTGTCTGATGGAAAATAAAGCAAAGGTCTAGATGGTGATTGAGCCTAACGCAGCTTCTGTTACTTTGTGAATTTACAACGAGCCAGCGATGCACAGGGTGGCAGCTTTGTTTCACCAGAGGACAAATCATTTCTTGTTGTTTGAGCTGTGGAGTCAACCACCTCGTCCAAGCTTAGTGCACTAAAATGACCAGAAATGAGCCACGCCAGACGACAAAAGCTCACCTGCTTCCATTTATGGCTGGTGAGGGAACTTTTGATCATGTTGTATAACTTTACCCACTGACCAATGTAGAACTAAAGAAGCCTTTTGGATGAGAGTTGAAACATCTTCAAGAACAAGAGAAGTCCAGTAGAGTTCTGTTGGACCACTTATTGTCCGGTCCTGGATGACTCCAACAAGTTTGTTCAGTTGAAGTGACGCTCTGAAGTTTTGACCTCATCCCCACAATCAAAACAAATTAGACCTAGAACATCAGTTTTATTTTGCCTAATCTGCAATTTAGTGTCTCGGGATGTCATCTGAGTGGATTCACCTACATTTTTCTGTCTTCTTAGAGCAGGGGTGACAAACTCTCTTACGAAAGGGGGCCAACATTAAAACCTTTTTCAAACTAAGGGCCGGTTTCAGAATCTACATTAACTCAAGTTAAATACCCAACATCTTTTCTTGGTTGCAGGTTCCTCAACAAGAGTTTGACTGGTCTCATTTGATGCTCTCTGTTGCACACGAGACATCATAATCAATGATTACTAAAAAAAATGCAAGTGATAAAAGTATTTTACATTTAAAATATCATCTTGGGGGGCCAGATAAGACGTCAACAAGGGTCACGTTTGGCCCCCAGGCCTTGAGTTTGACACGTATGCTTAGAGGCATCTTGTAGTTCTGTGAACCTCTGAATCCATGGAGGGACACTTCCACATAATCAACAACCTTTTGTTTAATTGAAGGATGACTGCTCTGCTTTCTGAAATACAGCTGGCCTTTTAGAAATATTCAGTAAATGAGACGTGCAGAGATGAATCCAAAGATAAATTGAATGAAATCTGATATTTATCCCCAACCAAAGAAAAGATCCTTCTGTTTTGCTCCCTTTGCTTTGGAGGCGTCAAACACAGGATTTATGATTCACAGCCTTGCAACAACTTTTCTCCACTGACTTGATCTGAATCAGCGGTCAAACTGTGTAACCTCATGTTTATTATGCTGTTTGTTTGTTTGTTTGTTGCAGAAACCACCATTTTCTCTCCAGCTAAAGAGGAACTGGTGACGACCACAAACACTTTGAATTTAACTTCCAGCTTGGCAACGCCGTCCACCATGAACACCAGCGCTGTCGCACGTCAGACTCAAACAACAGCAAACCACAGCATCACAGATGTCACTTCAGCATCACCACAAACACCCAGAACAGATGAAGCCACTCCAAGCAATACTACAGCAAATACTACAAGCAGCCAGGCAGCCAATGGGACGACTTCTCAGGAGCAGACAGTCACGTTGACATCAGAATCCCAAAATGGCACAAGGAGTGACGCCGTGAACACAACCAGTCCAGGTCAGACTACTGGAAGGGTTGGAAGGTTTACTTTTTTTAATGTGAGTGTGTATATCTTTCAAACTCAGGGGACAGCAATTCAATCATTAACATCTAGTTTATCCTAACTTATTGTAAAGTTGTATTTGGTTACTTGCTAAAGACAGCTTGTACTGCAACCAGTCAGGTGTTGTTTTAATACAAATGCCATGCAGTCATGCTCTGCATCTCATTAATGTATTTGACCAGAATGTC